TGAATTGTGAATAACAATGTTCAATCAACTAAGTAATTCAACCATATAAGCATTTTAATGTTTGTATCCTGTATGGGTGCACTGATTGAACAAATTTGATTTGATTCAATTTTGATAAAAACCGGAATAATTTGGATGTAGTTATGGACACAGCAAAAGAAATTTATACTGAGCTTGCGTCTAGAGATAATAGGACTGAGCAAGGCAGAATTTACGATACTGTTCAACATGGTACAGGAGAGCTTGCAGATAAAACTACCCCTTCAGCCAAGAAGTGTACACCACTTTTGTTATGGTGTACCCTCGTACATTCAATTTTAATTGGACTGTTGATTATTGCAGTATCTGTTTCTTTATACATAAGTACAAAGGTTTCAAAGGCTTCAAATAGTAAAGGTCAGTACTAAAGACCTTCTTTATCGAACTTGCTGCAAGTCTGTTGGATGATAACAGCTATATTAAACATATTAGAATATAATCTTCATTTTTTGTTTGTTTATGGCTTAATAATAAGAAACACTAGAAAAATAAAGTACAAACTTTTTGTTTTGTGTTATATTGTTTAAAATTAGGACCCAATATAATTATAACGTTATTCATATTTACCGGATGGCGACGGAAATGACCGAAAGCCGATATTGTATCGGTTCTTGAAACTCAGGATAATTTTTTTGCTAAGACAGCTATAAATATAATTAATCAACTGGTTCTGATTTCTTTGACTGATTTATTCTATTTCATTAATGTTATCTGGATAAAAAAAGGTCAAAATATAATTAAAACCGGATTTACACAAACTAATTCGTGAAAATGAGCAACGGTACAGGGCAATTGATTTGAAGTCGACAATCTTAACCACTCGACCATGGAGTCGCCTCAAAAGGCTGTTAATTCGCTTTTAAAAACAACGTAATTATATGTTCCGCAAGCAAAAGTGATGGATATAACTTTTGAAGGAGCAACGGTAACTCGTATTCGGACAAACTGGTCAGACTGGTGGCCTTGTAACGCCAATTAAATGCCGTTTTCTTGTTTCTATAACATTTCAAATACATTCAAATTTAAGGCCGCCAGGTCGCTGGACCGCTAGGGATTCAAATGGAGCACCTTATCTATACATAGAGCTATAAATAAAGGTAGGCTTTGAAAACGCCAATGCGGAACGTACTTCTTAAATCAAAGTTTAAAAAGCGCATACAATGATAATTCCAGTCAAATGAGTTATTTCGTTATGACTTGCACGAAAACGACTTTTGTTTATTATTGTATATTGTTTTTAAACATCTATCTTAAATGAAACCTAGTCTCCCACTTTTTGGTTTTCGTTAGGTTTCCATCTTTTTCAATTACTTTGTCAAAATTATTGTATAAAGGTATATTTCATAATCAATTAGGACTTATAAGCAATAGTCAAAGCAGTCATTTGACAAATATGTCAATTGAAAAAAAAAACAAACAAAAAACAAACAACAAAACATTTGACATTTGGTTATAAAAAGGGACTATTTTATTCCTGTAGTCAGATGTAAATGGATGGCTATCTACTCTGAATAGTGTCTACGCAAAATATTACTACACATAATTGTATGAACCAAATAATAACAAATTAGATATGAAATTAATTTAAAGTTATAAAAATATCTGTATTAGAACATAGCGGCTGGAGTCAATATTGGGATTTGGAAGAATGTACGACATTTCCTCTCTCTATATTTTCAAACCTACACGTAGGCGACGCCATTTCGTTTGAAAACAATAAATATTATAGTTTTTGTTGTCTCATTATGTGACCTTGTTGCTCAAAAATAATTTAGTTTTCTCTATTGCCATCAATTTTTAAGCAAATGTTGGTCATAAACTGTATCCGAGAATTAAAATGTTTGTAACAATCACAGTTTACTTAGTTTCATAATTATGTGTTTAATAGTTGATGGTGGCTGGTCCGAGTGGAATCCATGGAGACAATGCTCTGTTCCATGTGGCGTAGGACTTCAAAGCCGTACACGTTTGTGCACAAATGCATCTCCAGCAAATGATGGCAAGCAATGCGTTGGACAAAACTTCGAAGTTAAACTGTGTTATCGTGGGTTTTGTGGTGACTATTATGCTATCTATATCAAAGCTATTTATACATGCACATATTCAATAATAATTACTTTTTACATTAATTGCATTAAAAAATTCGGTTCTTAGTTTAGACTGTTACATTTAAAATCTATATAAAATATAGTTAAAAATATCTATATTTGATGCAAACGTATTGTTGCAATTTCAATGTTCGAATTGACTATTATTTGTTTTTAAAGAGAATGAACGGACTGGGACACATTGAGTAAATAAATAAGTTCATTACATAAGAAAAGTGCAAGTGCAGGCGAAAAATCAATGCAATAAACCCAATTCTATTTGAACAATATCGGACATTCATGAGTGTAATCTCCATTTGTCTCGGATATTATTTAGGATAAGTAGTCGGTCATTTGTAGAAGTATCTTAATACTAGTGTTTTATTCAGGAAAATCATTTAAGTGACGTGACCGCCGAAATATTATACGAAAATGTGTTAAAATCGTCTTAAACGAATATCTACTGATAAATAAATCTAAATTGATGTTTTACTTTTAGTTGTATTCATTGCCTGTTAGTCTTGTGTATTATGATTTCTTTGTTCACTTAAGGTAATAAAAGAAGCACATACAGCTACTTCTGAATCTTTCTTTTGAAAACAATATAAGTGGCGAATTTTTTTAGCTTAGTAGATAAAATATATTCCAACATTGAACATTTGGAAATAAACATGCAGAAATAAAGGATGTTCATTTCAGACGAGGATTGTTATGCCATTAAAAAGCGAAGGGGAAAACTTCCATGTGGAATTTACAATGTACGTCTCTGGAACACAGGTCGAGTTATACCTGTGCACTGTGACTTTAATACAGATACGGGAGGATGGACGGTTGTTCTATATTTGTTTTTGTTAATATATGTGTAGTGGAATGCAAAAATGGGGCTTCTTGACGTTGACGTCGTTATCGAGAAAATGCGAGATCTTTGACGCCATTTTTTTCCTCATTATTTTTCCGTTCATCTGGCAGTAAAACAGCGCTAAATTATATAATAAATGACTTGTCAGCACATGGGTCCTCATGATTCATACAGAGTAATCAACGGCAAAAATAATTTGCTACCGTTCATCCTATGACAGCAAATAAAATTATCACGGGAAAAGATTTTTACGAGGACCACTGATTACGTCATCTGACATTGATTGTTGATAAAATATTGGTGAATTGATTCGATGTTTTTGGTGTTTTAACGAATATTTTACACTGACAACGTCTGCTTTGACAAAACTTATATATAACTGGATTATTCGGGTTAGGTGAGTATTTATTTGTTCTAGTATTTTTGCTTAAATATGTATTTTATCGGAAAATAATTATACCCGGAAGTAGAAACAATTGCAGTTCCTGGACAACGGTTTGTTGATAGCAACATGGAAAATGCCAGCCAAGTAATTATTTACTTAAAGCAATTAAAACCAAAATTTATGTAATTAATCTCTTAGATAAAACAATCATCAAAGTGAGGAAATTCAAGATTTTCAAGAATTTTAATCTTTACTTTCTTCCATGCATACTGTACACATGTACATGTATCAGAATAAAAATTTGAGCTGTTGAAAACTTGTATCTCAAAAGTGAAAATATATCTCTGGCACCATTGTTTGAGCTGTTAAAATTTTTCATATCTTTAAAATTAAAAATATGGAGATGTTGCAGTTTCCATAATTTCTCATAACCAGACTCAATAAATTGAGGGTATTGAATGAGTGCATAGACAAATATTTTTTCATTGACACTACTAGACTATAGTGTAACGCTTACGCTTAGCATGTATTTCCACTATGTTTCTGTAAGGCATATGATGTCACATCAAAATGTTTGTTCACACTTAGAAGCACATCAATGAATACCTAAGCCTGAACTTGTTTGAAATGATTTAACTAATATTTTAATTAAAAAAAGTCACAGCCCTATGACAAGCTTTCTAGAAAGGATACTTATTAAAGGAATCATATCTGCAGATGCCTTATTTGCAAAACCTGAGGACCTAAGGAAAATCTGACTGTTCTATATATTGTAAAAACTGTATATCAATAAAACATAATTTATAAATTTAACTACTGTACATTTCAGGCACTTCACCATGCACTCTTGATGTAAAGTACTCCAACATTTGGGATTATGCCCAACAAGTGCACTTTTCCCATCATTCTCAACCGGTTGGTCCAATATGTTTGAGGACACCAAGAATGTTCCATGCGTTTGGTGTTTGTGTAGAGAGATCAGGTAAGTTTGCCCATAACATTTTTTGACATATTTTTTCATGAATTGTGCATATTGTAAAAACATGTTTAAAAATATTATCAAGGTAGATTTCTATATATTTAATTTTCTTTCTTGTCAGATGTGTTCTTTTGCCATGAATTTTATTATTATTCTCCTATGCCTTAGTATTTTCAGTTGCAAAAAGAATATTCAGTTAAATATAACCTTAATTTTAAGTATTATTTACTTAAGTACTATTTATATCCTATGCAAACTTTTTAAATTTCCAATTTATATGTATTTTAGGACTTCATGGAAGTGTCAGTCTCAACATGCTTGGTACTTTTATATCTGGAAAGTGAAAAACAATGCAACAGGTTGTCTAAGTGTACTGTCCTGAAGTCATCAAGATGTGGGCACAATATCCTACCCAGAAAATCCCTAGGAAGTCATTTCTTAAGTTAAGCCCTCAAACTGTTATCCAAATACCACCATTTTTGTGCAAGTGCAATGGAGCCAAGTGTTATAACATGTAAAGAATATATTAACTCTGTGGAGGTAAAAATGTATTTACTGAAACAATTGCCTCCCAGAGGTCTTTTACTTGAAGTACAGTAATGATGCAGCAAGACAATAGTATCTATTTGAACAAATTAGGCAATTCTTCAAATCTGACATAGCTAAAATACTGTGTGGCCAAAACCAGTTATCCCGAAAACAGAAATAAAGTTGGATATTGACAATTATGTTAATAAGGTGGAAAGAGAAAGAGCAGTCTTTTACTCTTGAGTATAATTGGAGTTCCTATAACATAATGGTCCTGTATGGACTGTCATTATTTTCTTTATTTCAAATATAGTTTATGATACAAGTAGATGCTTCATAAGATAAGACTGCAAGTGTGTTGCATAACTGGTGCTCAAAGGACTAATGCTATATTAACAAGTGTGTGGATCATTATGCAAATATATTATTTAATGGCTGCCTACATTATTTTTGGATGTCAGTTTACCAGTTACTAATTTCCATCATTTTTACAAAAATTTTATTAAATTAAGTTTAGTGTAATACAACATTTGTCATTTTACTCTAAGTTATAGAATTCTATTGAACCTATGCATGTTATGAATTGATCAACTGTCAACTTATCTTAAGCTTTGATCTAGATTGAAAATGACTGTATGAAAATGTAAAGTAACATTAAGCTTTAGTACTTGTTGTCAAATTTTAAACATTTTATAGTTGTAGAATATGAAAAATACTTTATCTATAACAATGATAGGTCAGTTGAATTTTTATGTTAGTGTAGAATCACATTGTAAATTATCACCAATCCTTAAAATTGTTAAAAGAAGCAGCAAAATCAAAGAATATTCAATGGTAGCTAGGCAACCAATATTCCCTTCAGTTGGGAAGGATTTTAAACAGGTGCATCATAATAAAAATACTTTATATGTTTGATCACATTGTAACTCTATAATTGAAAAATAATCATCACTAAGTTATAAAATATTAAAATATTGAACCTTAAATGTACCTGAGAACATGATATTAGAAGTATCATTTTTAGCTCGACTTTTCTATGAAAAGGGGAGCTATCCTACTCGCCCCGGCGTCGGCGTCGGCGTTGGCGTCACACCTTGGTTAAGTTTTTCGTACCACCCCACTTTATTTCAGAAGTATTACAAGTATGGCTTTGAAACTTACCATACTTGTTCACCATCATAACCTCCATCTACAGACAAGAGTACATAACTCTGTCAAGGTTTTTGACAGAATTATGGCCCTTTTTTGACTTAGAAAGTGTATTGAGCTTGGTTAAGTTTTTTGTACCACCTCACTTTATTTCAAAACCATTGGAGGTATTGCTTTGAAACTGACCATACTTGTTTACCATCACGACCTTCATCAACAGACAAGAGGACATAACTCTGTCAAGGTTTTTGACAGAATTATGCCCCTTTTTGACTTAGAAAATACATTGAATATGGGTAAAATCCACTTATTGCCTTAACCCTTTGAGATATTGCTTTGAAACTTTTAATGCTATTTCACATCATTACCCCCATCTGTACGCAAGAGAAGGTAAATCTGTCAAGGATTTGTTTTAAAAATTAAGGCCTTTTATCGACTTAGAATCTTGGTTAAGTTTTTTGTACCAGTCCACTTTTTGACTGAACTGTTTGAGATATTAATTTGAAAGTTGGAATACTTGTTTACAATCATGATTCCCAAACATGTCCAGGAGAAGGTAATTCTGTCAAAGATTTTATTTGAATTATGGCCCTTAACTGTCAATGTTTTGTATTATAGGCAAGCACTAAAAAACTTAAAAAATCTAAAAAAATTCATTCCTATCCACTGAACCTGCAGTGTTCAAGGGTATCACACAATTCAGTAAAATAATTCTTCACTAAATATCTTAATGCTCATGGCCATTGTTCACTTTAAAAATACAGAGATTCTTGTATTGCCTTTTACTGCAAAAACTTTTTTTATTGGCAAGCAATAAAAAAGTCGAGCGCGCTGTCTTACGGACAGCTCTTGTTATTTTATATTATGGAATGGTGAGGCAGGCTGTTCTCTGAATACCTTATTAAGTTCAGTTACACATTATCTGTGGTACTGTTTTCATTTTTTTATAATAGCACAAATTGCTATTTTGCAACTAAGTTGTAATCTCCTGTATGCCTGTAAAAATTTAGAAATTTATAAAAAAAAAATTATTCATTGGTTGCTTAGCAACTTAATTATATGCAGAGACAGATTTAAGTAAGGAACATTTTTTGTAGGAATTTTCTTTATGTCATTTCAATTAAATATAATGCTAGTCAATTCAAAGTCCTTACATTGTTGTAAAACAGTGTAGTTAACACCAGATGTTACTGAACACCCTTTTATGAAATTATGTATATTATCTATATAAATTCAAAACCTATAGTAAAGTGAGTTTTAGGATACTTTGATCCAAGAACTATTATTAAGATTATATTTGCAGTTTTAATAGTCGTAATTTGTTTTTTTGTAATCATGCTGCTTTGTTCATGGTATTTTGAGATCTTTTTTATTCAAACTTAAAATTTGTAAAATTTAAAAGGAAATTATGGAAGATATTGTGGTTGCTTGGCAACACTGATTAATTTTTACTTATTGGTTAGGTATTATGTAAATCAGTTATACAGCAGATATATGTAATATGGAAAGTAACAGTGATTTGATCAAATGCTTATTGGTTATTGTAAAACATATGTAGAGCAATATACATGGCAAAGATACTGAGTTCTGCTAAAATTTGCATCACTTACTAACACTAGTCAAGTGTACAGAACATGGATTGTATATCGTCAATGGAAAATTATTGAATAGTAATTAATAGGCATTGTTTATAATTTTTTTGAAAATGTATTTATTTCTGCTGCTTTGTTAGCTGTATTTTACCAAGAAATTTGTATATTTTCAAAATAAATTACAAAAATTTAGAATATTCCATGGTTGCTAGGTAACAGAATATAGCTTCAATATAGCTTCCTTCATGTTGTATTTGTGTAATCATGCCCTTTATTTAGTGTTACTACCTTTTATGATGTTATACTTGAGTCATCTTTCATTTGCTGTTGTATTAAACTGTTGTCTGCTGTCAGAGTAAATATCTGAATAAAGTTAATAAATGAATGATAAATGGACACTGTGTTTAGTTCTTTTGAAGTTGTGTTATGATATCTGTCAACAGTAATATCTCCTGTTAACACTGTAGAAATGCAATAGAACCATTTGCAAATGTGAAAGAAGAAAACATTTCGTATTGATACTTGCAAGTGTTATAAAATAAACCTAGCACATAACTTTTTACTTGAAAAAGACCAGAAAGAACCCAGGAATAGGTCCGTTGCTAGGCAACATAATGTAAATGATGCTTTAATTATGGTGGCTGTATTCCAAAAATATTCTACAACATTTATTAACTTTAATAACATAAAACAATTTTTTCACAAAATTCATTTTAGCTTCAACAGTTGTTTTCCTCATGCATCTTTAAACATCACAAAGATCAAAGATTTTTATGTGTATTTTTAATTACTTACTGGACACCATACTCACAAAATTATGTATATCTTTGTAAATAAGAAGGACACGACCTTCAAATTTTCAGGAATTACTTCTGATATTTCATAGATTTAGAAAATTAAAAAAAGTGAAAATCAAAAATTTGGTCAAGAAACCCCATTTTTGCATTCCATGACACATATATAGATCTATACTTATATTACATTAATTTCATTCTAAGCATAACCTTATTTCATTTTTATGTTGAGACACGTAAAATCTAAACAATTTGTTATTATTAATTTTGTTCTTAATTTTGATACGATAAATAATGAAAGAGAACAAAGTTGCAGTGTAAAGCAATACTGCATACATTCAAACAAAATGATTTAGAATGTTTCAAACTTCACATCGTTAGTGGTACAGAATATAGTTTAGTTCGACTGTATGAAATCTAACAGTTTAAATACAGCTTATACTCTCGAATCTGTTCCAGGCACCAATCAGTAATGATAAATTTTTGTCACGTTTCTTGCTCAAAGAAACAACATCTTGCACCAGACGGGATTACGCGGTTACAGAGCCTTAGATTACTTCTGCGCCACATGTCCTCATCATTATAAAATGTCTCGTTTATACCGATAGAGTTACTTTCATATAATTCACAAAATAAAATGAACGTCCATATAAATGGTGTTGAAAAGACATTCACCAAAGCCATGACATTTTTGCTTTGAATTTGTCATTTTTGTAATAATTCCTGGTACAATATTACATTCATGTATTATTCTTTCAGGTATTTCAATATCGATTCAACGGCAGCGTTGATTTCTACAGAAACTTTAGTGATTATGAAAGGGGATTCGGTTCTTTAGACGGCGAATTCTGGTTAGGTGAGAATATGTTGATTTACTTGCCATACAATTGTTTGAATTAACTTCTGATAACTTTTGAAAAAATACCTGTGTAATAATTCTTATTTTATTATGACAGATTGTACGCAAACATACTTATTAGTATCACATTTTTCTTAAATGAATGATATGACAAATATTCTAATCTTTACAACATACTTTACTTTTATATGTTTTGTCATGATCTTTGTTTTATTTTATGACTTGTGAATGTGCAGTTAATTTTCCAAAATGAAATTTACAATACAAGTTGTGCTCTGCAAGACTTGTGTTATTGTCATAAACAAATTTAACTCATAAAGAGACATGAACTCATCATTTTTAATGTAAAGTAAACAATATAACTATATCGTCTTTATAATAGTGTTGCTGTTATCATAATCTGAAAACGGGAATCGATGTATATAAACATGTCATTCTTAGGACAGAGGTCGCTCAGGGTTGCCGTTTACAATGATTGCGTCCGCTTGAGCAGCATCGTTGCCTATTTAAACATAACCACGCTTAAGTCAGCCGTCATAAGTTCGTTTTAATATATCGTCATACCTGGAAAGTAGGAATGCAAACTGTCTCAAATGAAGAATACATACATGTGTATACCTAAGTTTGTTAAAAATTAAGATTGCAAACAAGTTTTGAAGGTACATTGTACATTTGTATTAATGTACCCAAGATGGACAGACAATAACAATACATATACACACGATTGATAGATTGCAATTCTATCCCCCTTTACATATATAAATTATGTATGAAATCGGCTGGGACTCTTACTTACTTTAGATATCATTTCGGGTATAAATGTGTGGGTTTTTTTCCAAATAATATATGTATATGCACGCACTTAAACGGGCTGTTTTTTTAGATTATATCAATATCGTATATACATGTACATACATGCATTACAGAAAAAACAAATTCCACTCTTACTTTTCCCTAATATCTGGTAAAGAGAAAACTGTTGATTTATCAATTCTCAGCATATGCATTGTATATCAGAGAGCACAATAGTGGTTTGTACCGTTAATTGTATCAATTTTGCGTGTATAAGATTTTTTCCAAGATCTGCACTCTATTTAATGCTGATATACATGCATGTTTTTTCACGGAAATCTTACATAATTATGGAAATTTCCGGTACTTGCATAAGCTATTTTACAGTAACATATATATATATAGAATTCCTGCCCTCTGATGTATCTTTGTAATTATACCTGTCGCCGAAATTAATCATATGGGCTAGAATATCTGCACATTTACTAGTGTGGTATTTGTATAGTCATCAGTGGAAACTTGACTTATTTTCTTTTTATACCATCTCATAGTTCGTTGATGGTTGTAGAACGCGACGGCAACTCACTTCTACTTAATTAAACGAGTTTAAGTTACAACAAGTCCTCATATTAGCCCACTTATTATCCCTTGTACTATTGAATGAGTGGCCATGACCTGGCGTGTGCATACTTTGCAAAGATCCACCTCGGTTGTGTTAGTGATGGGGATATGGGGATTTTGCGAAGTTATGACGCATTTAAATCACATATTAAATATGTTTTTAAACATTTCAAAGTTTCGACTTATCAAAATGCACTTAACCTTCGAGCAACTGTTAGTATTTGCTTCAATTTCTTATAAAATATAAGAGTATATTTTATTAGATAATCTTAATTACTTTTATTTGGGCGGTCCCTAAACGCACTGTTATCTGTTTCACAAAAACGACGTAAGAATAGTCCTCATGTTCGGGGAGTGGTTGTTATTTTCATAGGTTGTCTTTTTCCGTATATTAATATTCAAGTGAACATACATAAAAATAATGTACTAATGTCTTAATATTGATTTTTTACGATAAACATGTAATAATCCTTTGCATGTTTACAAAATGAAAGGCATATAACCAGTTTTTATAACATAAAACTTGTAAAAGAAATTAATAGTTTAAAATAACAAAATTTCTCTGGTAAATTTTCTTTTGAGAAATAACTTCTATTTTATATTTTCTATTTTGCACATCGGCAAAATATAAATTCCAACACTATCGAAAATGTTCCTATATAGACAAAGAAGGCCGGAATCGTGCATTATTCTACAAGAATGCACTCGCCGTTCTTATTATCTCCCTGTGTATTTTCACATTGAGGGCGCCATTTTGTTGGAAAAAAAATCTGATAAATAAAAACAATTTTTGTCGAATTTTGTTGTGAAAACTATCTAGAATGAAAGAAAATGGTCTAACTAAGAAAATAAATTTCGAAGACCAATATCTTTAATTCAGTCGTTAACGCTGTACAGACGTTTGAAGTGTTGTTTACGTGACGTCACAATGTAGCGCCAAACAGCACGTGCAAAACAATCAAATCAAGTACGTTATTTTAATGTCGCAAACGAGTTAAGTTGAACATATATTTCACTTTTAATAATTTGTGTTTCGCTTGAAGAATTATAGAGTGAAATAAAATAAACAAACAAAGTTTAATCAACGTTTTCAAAATTCGTTATTCTCAAAATATTTTTACACACGGTAGATTTAACGACATTTTTTTCAATACACTGGAACAGCTTTTAAAGAACGTTTTTATGGGAAACTCTGAGGCGAAAACAAATTTAACCACCAAACATAAAGTCCAACTTTATAATAATAATTATATTTTTTCTTGTCGTGTTAGAATTGAAATAGATATTAATTATCCGTGCATTATTGTATAATAATGCACGTTTTTCGTTCAAGTGCTTTGTAATTAATCACTCAGGCCTATCGGCCTTCGTGATTATATTACTACGCATTTGAACTCAAACCGTGCATTATTCTACAACAATGCACTCAGAATTTATATCTATTTCCTAAACATAAAATGAAACAAATATATATTCATGTAAAAACTGATATTTCGGATTAAGAAAAAAAATGCTATTCCGATTAAATATTGTCATTTTAATCTTAATTCGTTAAGAAAAGTGTCATACTTATGAGCATGTTTGTGTACAAACTATCATAACATAATACGATTTAGCATATTAGCATTCCGGACAACAAATAAGACAACTGGTGAACATTCCCTTCCATAGAAATATACATGTAGATTTTCCTAGAGTTTTTATTACATTTCCAACTCGTACTTAAACAAGACTATAATTTCAAAATGCAAAGGATGTGTTCAAAATTGCATAGAGCAAGTGTTGATTAATTGCGATAAATGATAATATCTGACTGATAAGATGTCTAATGAATAAAAAGCGTATATTACGGTACATAAAAATGTAAAGTTTCTTTTGTAACCGAAACCTTCAAATTGTATTTTCTAAATGGTATTGTTTGTGGCGCAGTTATATGTCGCAACGCCGCTAAATGTCGCACTTGCCACTAAATGTTGCACATTTGCCGCTAAATGTCGCAACCGCCGCTAAATGTCGCAAAATCGTCTGTCGTTAAATGTGGCAATATTAACGTTAAATATCGCACGAATTTCCCTTACCGTTAAATGTCGCAACAATACCGTTAAATGTCGCAAGATGTAAATTCATCTTAAAATCATGATTAAAAGTAGTATAATATTACTTTTTAACATTCTCATAATTATTTTTATTGTAATTGTTATTACACAAAGTATCTTTGTTTTACTTGTTTTTTTATGAACCTAAATATCGAGGTTTTGAGGTGCTTTATAATGTAATCTTTACAGTAGAAAGAATACAATTGATATTGAATTATCAATAGATAAGTATTTTTCTTTCTTCTCATTTGTAACCCTGATTGACAAAAGATTAATGGGAATGATATTGTCGCTCTCAGAATTTGATTTAAGTAATTTCATTTATTTTCTAAGAAACTACCGAATTAACTTTAAACGTGGTTTATTTGTTCACTATGATCATATGATGCAATATCAAAGGGCAGACAAATGTCCTGTCTCTAGCGAAGCACGCTAAACTGCGCGTTGTTGTGTGGCGCGTTGTCGCCATGTCGCCCGGTCGCTTGGCTTTATAAGCCAATCCTTAGATTTGAACCGAGCGACAATCTGACATCGCGATAACACGCCGAACAACATCGCGCCGTTTGGCGTGCATCTTTAGTGACAGGACGACAAGACGAAAGTCCGACAACGCACCGTTTGATGCTTTGTCGTGTTGTCGCCCGCCAACTAGACGCACAAAAGTATACCAAATCAGCCACCATAAGATTAAGTACATTTTACCATTTCTCAAACACTATTTACGCTTTGACATTTTGGCAAGTGATATTTTACTCGCCAAGTCGCTTTACACTATGAAAGATTCGCATTAAATATCATATAATAAGATTAACATTGATTAATAAGAATACAAATAATTGGTTAAGCTCATATTGGCCTTGCTATTTGGCTGAAGACACCTAACCTTATTGGCCAGAGAATGTAGGCTTTTTATATCAGTGCTTTGTTGTAATTGAAATCTTAACCTGTAACGCTTCATTATAAATATTTCAGTGAAATTAAGTATGACGTTTTTCGAAAAACACAAGACATACATTATACATATGTACATGTAACGACGATATTGGTTAGATATCTGTAACCACTTTTATGCTCGTAGTTTTTTTTTTGTCACGAGTTTGATTTTCTTATCAAGTCCTAAAGCGCATGTCGATTACGTCATTGTGAAGTTCAAATGACCATAAATACAAAAACTACGCACAATAGAGTATCTATTTTAAGGTAATTTTAAGGACTTTATTGTCCAAAACAAAAACATGGAACAAATGTGTAAAGAAGACATCTTTTTAATTTATTGTAACAATAATATGAATGATCACTGCCTTACTAGCGATAAAATGGAAATAAAATCACGCATACGAGTAGCAAATTTAATAAAAGCATAAACTGTTTGTGTGAACTTCATTCTGCAAATATAAATAATGTATTTTAGCATTTGTGACCATGAACCTTTTATCCCTACCTCAATCAAAAGGAAGAATACCATGCTAGAAAATACATTTGTCAATAAATAAAGGCTGTAAAAGTGTAAAAATCTATTTTTAGAACTGCTGACCTTGACCCAACCGAACCCTAACTCCATCCAAAGGAGAGGACTTCAATTTTATGTTCCTACCAAATATAAAATACATATGTCAATAGAAAAATGTTAATACACCTGTACAATTGTAAAAATCTATTTTTGACATTGGTGACTTTGGCCTTGACTCCTAACTAAACCCAAAAGAAGAGGACCTCTTAACTTACTAATAAAGGCTTAATGAGCAAAAATGTTATAACAAAAATTTCACACCAGTGACATTGACCTTAGAGACGCCTTACTACACAAAAAATACAGGGTCATTAAAGGTATCCACCTATCAAATATGGAAGATATCATTAAATAAATTAAATCTAAGATGAATCTAACTTACCGGGATAGGTTAACCATACAAGGTCCTATTTTCAAAGTGAAAAAAGAGAATATAACTTGGGAAAAATGGATGACGTCGACGCAGTTATATAACTTGGCAATATCAGAAGTTTTCTAAATAAGTAAATAAGTAAGTGTGGAAATTATGAAACCATAAGTATAGACAGTACTAAAATAAATCCATCTTGCCTGTTTAGGTTAACGATAGTTATTCTCAAGCTGCCGAAAAGGGCAATAACTTGGTAAAATTAATTATGTAACTTGCCAGGATCAAGTACACATGTATATTGTATTAATAAGTAAAAAGGTGTAAATTATAAAGCCATTTGTACAAGAAGATTTTAAGAAAAATCCAACTTGCCGTTTTATTATTTTGATCGTTCCATTTTTATAACATGACACCAATTTTAGGCTGCCATGCTCCTAGACTGCCAGCTTTAGGCTGTTAGAATGCAAAGTTCAGCGTCCTAAATGTAAAGGCGTTTTTGGTTATAATCATGCATGTGTTTGTGCTTTTGCATGACCTTTCATAGTGTTTTACTGTATTTTTAATTGTTTCCATATTTATAATATAAGTCACTAACTTTAAGCTACTAGGCTGCAGACTTTCGGCTGTTAGATTGCCAACTTCAGGTTGCAAAGCTGACATCGATAGGCTGTTAGGACCGTTAGGCGGCCTCCTCAGGATGCTAGGCTGCCGACGTTAAGCTTCTAGGGCGTTAGGCAAACTACTAAGGCCCAGGTCGTCAGCAATTTAGGCTTCCTCTTTCGACTGCGGGACAATTTGCCTCCTCAGCCATATAGGCCATCAGACTGCCACCTCAGGCAGCCAGGCCGTTAGGCTCTCCCTTCTACCAATTTTACAGGCATGATTGTACAAAACTATTTACAGAACAATGCAGTTTCAAACAAATAGTAGACAATTGTATAATTATCAATATGTACTTGCATAAGATCAGCTAGAAATCGAACGCAAAACAATATACATGAATTTACAAGATGAGTATTATTGTCGCCTAAATTGTAGCGCTGTTCCTTATATAATAATATCACTCGCTTTCAAACATACAAAATTCATCTTGAGTAGGCAGATTTAATTTATATGATACAACAATAAAACTTGAGTTCAGCATAAAATTACATCTTGCGGCATTTAACGGTAGTGATGCGATTTTTAACGGTAAGGGAAATTCGTGCGACATTTAACGTTATCATTGCGCCATTTAACGGCAAAAGATTTTGCGACATTTAGCGGCGGTTGTGACATTAAGCGGCAATGGTGCGCCATTTATCGGCAAGTGCGACATTTAGCGGCGTTGCGACACATAACGGCGCCACATTGTTTACCATTACAATGCATCAAATACGACAAACATATAATCATTGTTTATCGTATATCTAAACATTACATACCCTAGGTGTCTATTTTATTTATATGGTGAATCGAGAAAAATGATTAAGGGCAACTAACTTGATAATGCATAAAGAAAATATATTTATCTTGGAACAATATCCACTCCCTCCCCATAAATAAACAGGTAGCAGGTATAGAACAAATCATTTTCATATACTTTTTCATATAATTACATTTTTATAAAAAAAATGCCTTAAGGTTTTGAACATTATTATCTGTCTGAAATTATATTAACTTAAAGAAATACTCCAGAAGCTGTTTTTGAGAGAATGAACAGGTCGAGGAAAGTCTTCTACTTCAAAAAATGGACAGTTGTATTATTGTACGCATCTTATGCAGATATAGAAAATTACTTGCTTCCATTGATCACTTATGGGACATTTAAATGGATTGCTTTTTTCATTATGTGAGTCTATTTTGTCCAGGAGTATTTTAACATCAGGATTGGTTATACGTGTGGGATTTTAATACATATTGAAGTTTTAAAATATAAAGTAAAGTTATGTTTTCATTATCAGTGATAAGTGTTTTTTAGCTCGACTTATTTTATTTTGAAAAATAAGTAGAGGTATTGTTATAGTCGCGGCGGCGTTGCCGTTGCCGTCCGCAAACTTGTACCTGGATCATAACTTTTTTATTTCTTGGTGTATTGTCTTCATACTTGGCCACAACAACCCTTGAGAAAAGACCTTTCAGTAGACCACACTAACCTTGACCTTCATCCATAAATGACCTTGACGTTCAAGGTTAAAAGTCCAAATTTTGCTTGTTCATGCTGTTATTGGCTGTAACTTTGTTATTTTTGAATGGATTGTCTTCAAACTTTAACATAATAATCTTCAAGGATATCCCTTAAAAATAACCTGCCAGACCTTGACCTTCACTCATAAATGACCTTGACTTTGAAGGTCAAATTATTGAAATTTTCATTTTTTTGGCTGTAACTGGCTGTAACTTTGCTATTATTGAAGGGATCAACTTCATATTATAACAGAACATACTTTAGGACAAGACCTTGTTGTGACTTTACCACGTGACTCCACCACGTGACTCTACCACGTGACTCTACCACGTGACTCTACCACGTGACTTCACCACGTGACTCCACCACGTGACTTCACCACGTGACTCTACCACGTGACTCCGCCACGTGACTCCACCACGTGACACCACCACGTGACTCCATCACATGACTCCACCACATGACTTTAAATCGTGACTCTACCACGTGACTTTACCACGTGACTCCACCACGTGACTTCACCACGTGACTCCACCATGTGACACCACAACGTGACTCTACCACGTGACTCCACCACGTGACTTTACCACGTAACTTTACCACGTGACTCCACCACAAGACTCTACCACGTGACTCTACCACATGTATCTATTTATAGAATTTTCTATTTATAGAATTGGTGTTTCTTTTTATAGAATTGCATGTTTCTATTTATATATATATACATTGTATATAATTTAGTATATTTATATATACAAAATATATAGAAAAAACTTATGTGACAAGACAGACCGATTGATTTTATTAAAAGGAAACGTTAAGATTTTGTTCAAACAATTCTTTGTTTTCTTTTAGAGAAAGTAAAAAGTCGAGCGTTGCCCCCGCCCGGCGGTTGCTCTTGTTTTTCTTTTTATTTATTTTTATTATTTCATTTTGAATTCTCAGTTTTCATAATTTAGCTCGTACACACTTGCTGTGTTGCTTTGTTTCTATAATACAAACCAAAACTCAAATTCACTGGCTACAGTGAATCTATGGGAATGGTCTAGTATCTGAAAAGACAGCATTTCACCACAAATCTTCAATTGTTGCACATGGTTGTTTGCATCGTTTTATTTATCTGCAAGTACATGCACAAAAAATAATTTCGAATTGTTTTGATGAATACTGAATGTACAATAACGAGTAAATACTGCATAGTTCCTGAGTCAACGAGTATAACATGACACAAACATGTTTAAATAATATTGTAATTATGTGAAACGTTCTCTTAATCAGTCAGGTAAATATAAATATGAGCTTAAATTTTATCAGATTATTCTGAGAATGATACTTTTTTATTCAGGCCTTCAAAATATCTACGAAATGGTTTTTCGAGGGAAAACAGAGCTGAGACTTGATCTGACGGCAGCTGACGGAACATCTGTATACGAAACATTTCAAAATTTTAGACTCGGTGAAAGGCCGTATTATACTCTTCATATCGACAAGGGAGTCGGAACTGCAGGTATTCATTGACATCTTCGATTCTAAATTTAAATTGTTGTTTACAGAATTTACAAAAAATATGTCAAGTTGTATAATAACATAGTCATTTTATAACATCATTAAGGATGTTAAGATTTATTTAGTGAAACGTGTTTCACTGACTTACATTATTGTTTTGTTTTCAATACAGGCGCTGGAGATGGTTCATCATATCACAATGGTAGCCATTTTTCAACTTTCGACATGGATCGTGATGGATCCAGTGATAGAAATTGCGCTATAATGGCCCATGGTGGATGGTGGTATGACAATTGTGCTATGGCAAATCTAAACGGTGAATATGTTACTCCTGGTACACAACGACCTGTCAAGTCGGAAGGTGGGATGATATACTATCCATTTAGAAAGTATGAGTCACTCAAGATCTCTAAAATGATGTTCCGGCGGGTATAAATGCAACCTGATCAAATTTAACAAGAACATAACGATATCATTTTCAAACTAGTTTTTATTGTATCAATGTAGGCAATATTTATAAACTTTTAGACTTGTTTCTTTCTCTTTAAATATTTACAAAAGTTTAAGTAAGATACCATGTATTAACTTGTGAAACGTTAAAAGTTTTATTGTATACGAAATCACTTGAAAAAGATAAAATTTATATTTAATATTGATGTGTAATAATTATAGTAATATCATGATGCAATTATCACTTATTACTGTAAGTGTTAGGGAAAAACAATTGTTAAATCAATCTACTGTTAAACACTTAAAACTAATAGAATGCTATTAATTAATTTTAGAAAATTAAATAGACACTAGCAACATATCAATATTGATCTTTAAGGCATTCGATGTACGGAACACTTGTGTAACCTTTTATAATAAATCAAAAGTTTGTCACAAACGCTGCAAGACGTTTGTATATGACATACATGTACACACACACATATATATATATATATATATATATATATATATATATATATTCACACATATCTTCACTTACGGGGCCCATATATAAGACCGAGTTGAGTGGCATTATTTCATGCAGTCAATTTTTATATACGCCACTATATAGGCCTATAATGAACATTTCCATACAGCAGAACTAAGGGGTACTAAGTTATATATATAAACTATATATTTGATTTTACCATAGGTGAAAACATATTGACCAATAACATAAAACCCCATAATAAATATATACATTTGTGGGACATATATCATTTACTACTAAAACCGGCCTACGGGCACTATGTTAGAAGGGTAGCCTACGCCCCCATACATCGTTTTAAACATGCCAGAGTTGCGAGGCCTTATGTATGCCCCACATTAAATATACACCCCACAAGTATGGTCTCAAATAGACCGATGCCCCGTAAATGGAGGAATGTGTTTGTATATATATATATATATATATATATATATATTGTTTTGTTTTGTTTTTATATCCCAATTGATATATTATTGTCCTAAGTATGTACTTACCTGGGTATCATTATAATGCGAGACATATGCATTTATTATGTCAAAAAGAGATAATATTGTTGTTTAATGTTTCCTTTTTTGTTAAAAGTACAATGTAGCTCAATAATATATGTTTATAAAGTTTTGATTGACTATTTAACTACTTATATGCTTGTTTGTTACACTTTATGTACGCATAGGCTGATGGCCGGATGTATTTTGAAAAAAAAAACTCTGAAAACTTTTGTTAATCACGCACTTTCAAAGACGTGTCAAGTTGGGTTGTTTAAAAAGAGCAAAAGAAAAAGAAGCAATAAGCCCTTAAATATTACAAAACAGTATTATCTCTGCGTATCCAAGGAAACATATCGAGTAATTGAAATGTATATTTATTGTCAACAAATCAAATACAATAAATTTAATGAAAAAAGTTTGTATCATATTCTGGAATCTTATTAGTCAGCGAAACGATGTTAAATGATCTATATTTCTATTATTTCTAACAGTAAAGCTGCATTTTATACATATTTAAAAATATTTGTCGTGGGCCTAACAACCAAGCAGTCTGTAGTGCAACCTTTTTAACAGTGTTGTTGTAAACCTTATCAAACACTGCTCAGAACTTATGATTTAAAAGAAAAATCCTACGGTTACACTAAAGTCCGTATACGAAATTTAACAAGCAAATGAAAACTATAATTAACTCGTATATGCGCTATGTCACAGTGTTAGACTTGATGTAAACGGCAAATGGGATTTTTCCATCTTATCCGAGTGTGCAAATAAACTTTTTCCGTTTAAGCTTTGCGGTATATGAGGTATGTCGTTTATAAAAGAGTAATATACATTTTTATGAAAACATCCATTATATCATGCGGAAATATACCGTTGAATTCGGACTGCCACCATGTTTATTTATTTTTGAACTTCTGTTGATAAAGGCGGAGTTTCTTATGGAAATAGGAAATGTACTCTTTTCGCTGAAATTGGGTTAGAGCCCTTTAACGCATATTAAGCTAATTTTTCGTATTTTCTAAATACGTTCGCACTGCGTAAATCGAGGGTCACTACTGCATAAAGCGTAAAAAGAAGAAAATGATTATCACCACCCGTTTTGTCCTACAATATGGTGGCATATGTTTGCCACGAGATAACCATATAACTAACTAGTTAATTAAGAGGTTAACTTGTTACGTAACTAGTTAACCTCTAAATAAACTAGTTAGTTATGTGGTTAACTAGTTGCGTAACTAGTTATTTTTTTCAATAAATAAAAGATCATAACGGGAAATAAATGCATGTTAGTGCCTAAATCTGCCATCCTTTTATTATTTTACCAGCTTAATATTAAGTGGTTAACTAGTTACGTAATAAGGTATTACGTAACCTCTTACTTAACTAGTTACCGCCTCAGTGGTAGAGGGGTTAGAGTCGATGACTTCTAATCCAGTTACCTCTCTGGCGTCGATTCGATCCCCGGGAGATGCTTTGGTAGTTTAGCAAGGAGGAAGGTAGTCTAGTACTGGTGTAACTCTCCAGGAACGATGGTTAGGAAACTTCCCGCCTGTATGACTGAAATATTGTTGGGAAATTGCGTAAAATGAAACAAACAAATAATTAACTAGTTAGTTAGATGGTTAGATG